CAACCAAAGAAATATTAATACACATTCACTTTTCCTTTATAACCTTAGCGGTTCCAAAAGTGAAATAAATAAATCGCTTAAGTGTGAGTTCGTCTGAATTCATATGATATCGTATTAAACTGCCCATTCTCTAATTGTATTTTCCTGGGTGATATAATGGCAGTCATTACTTCAACATCCATAGGATCAATATAACGTGAGATTATATCGCAGAAACTGGCAACACTGACGTGCCTTACCTTCCGAAATGAAAAGCAAACGAAACGATAACTGGCGAGTGTAATGTATGTATTAATTATTTATTTATACACATATATTTAATTCCTATTAATTTAAAACCCATCGCAACACATATTCCAATAAAATCTTCATATATTTTAGAACATCAACACGATAATTTATACTTATTAAACGCATGTTGCGGGTACATATGTTTCCATTCATCATTCCATCAATTGCATTTATATCAGGATATTGTCGTTTTCATTAAAATAATATGATAAACGCTTATATAATTGCACAACTTAGGAAACATGAGAATCTTGGTCGTATAATGAGAGCTCAGCTTTCAAATTATCTCCTGAACATCTACTTTATTTTACGTATGTTTTTGGCTTACATGCCAAGTTAAGATTAGATTAATGATCCAACCGAAGGCTTAAACGAGTGATAAATTAAATTAATAGTCAATTAATTTATAGAGGAAGTAATAGCACGCGATATGCGTTAATAATGAAGCGTGTGGTGTTAATATAATTATACTGGGATGATGCTGTTATTTTCTATTAAACACACAACATTTTGACGTACTACTTATATTTTGTGCGTATAAAAGCAATTGTTTGTGATTAAAGTTTAAAAAATTATAATTATGAAAACTGAAATCTGCAATTCAAAATTTCTGTTTTTATAAAATGTTTATTTACCTTTGCCACATTTTAGTTTTATTTCACTATCGTTTACTTGAAGATAGCTGTGTGGACGTTACCATATTTGGATTGTAGGTGACTCTTAACGCAGAATTTCTCGTTCGCGTTCCGGCTGTACCTATATGTTATATTAAGTTCTGTAACTAAGAAACATAGGTGAGGCACTTTTTAATATTTGTTTTGCTAATTGCTTTTCTTTTTTACACGTGCATTGAATAGGGCAAACAACTAAACTATTTATGTACACGGGAGGTGGCCAGCCATTGGCAGTCCAAATCAGGGCCATCAGAATTTGACTCGGCATGCTCATTGGACAACCAACCAACACTGTGACTGCACAGTGTCATTTTACAAAAATACAATAAACCAAAATCCCATTCAAATCAATAAGGGTGTTGAGCGTAAAATAATAACTAACAAAATCCCAAACTGTATTTGTATTTAATAAAGCCTGAGGCTCTTTAGGAGTTTAGTTGCTGGCAGTTGTACCATTTAATGAGTGCAAGCTATGAAAGAAAGAGATCTCGCCGAAAGCGTCTCTTTGAAGTTGTAATTGTGAAATTGTATTTAGATTTTCAGTTTAATTTCGTTATGTGTTACAGGGAATGTAGTGTTAATGATTAAGGGGCTATTCTCAAACCAGAGGTGGTGTGTTTGAATCATGGATATTCTTAAATGGAAGTATTTTTCTTTGAAACTAACACTTGCCTATACGCTGAATGTAAGATATTATGAAAAGTGGATCAGGCACAGAGTAGATTTCATGCAGATTTCCTTCCAATAAATAAACATCGAGGAAACTGATGAATCGGAAGACGGTTTTAGCGCCACGGGTTTATATTACTTACTACGGGATACTCATATTATCTAATAGTTCTTAAATAATACAATGACACCTTGAGATAAAAGATCCTCGCGGCTAATAACCTTAAATTAAAATATGAATAACATAATATAATGAACAATAAAAACGTGTATCTTAATTAAATATAATAAAGAGGTCGCGAACTGGGTTCAGAAACCGCTTCGCACCCAATATTGTATAAACCTCATACAATAGATAGAATATTAACATCTTTAATAATTCTGTTTCTAAATTAATTGGTATTGTTGCCTTTTCAATTGTGAATAATAGCCTTTTATTTGTTTTATATTAATTGCGACTTTGGGAAGTCTCTCGTTTTCATGATTAACCGCTAAACATTGACGTTCAAAATATATTTATTAAAAAAAAAATTATCTTCTCATCTGTTAAGTTTATGTTAGAATTTAGTTTAGCAATAAAAATTGAGTGTTTAATTCGTAAACTAAAAATTTATCCCACGTTTAGTAAAATGTCTTCATCAGTGTCATGTGCTAAGTTCTTTTACAATATCTTACTTATACTTTTTTTATTATCAGACGTGATTTAGATTTGCACACATTAGTGCACAGCAGAAGTACGAATATATGACCTTAGTTTTGATATGAATCATTTGTACAACTAGGCTATGGAGGAATTACTTTATACAATTTCCTTATTGATTAATAAAAATTCTTTGGCATGGCATGACCTTAACTCTCGGAAAAACTTTAATTACAATTACGGAGTTCAGACTTACCGTTAAACCATTTGGCGAATTAAGTTCCTTATTGTAAATTCTATTATGTTTCGCAACTCCAATTACCAAGTTTTAAATAACTTATTCACTATGAAGATGCTATATGCACAGACAAGTAAGAATGGAAGTAGAATCTATAAATATACTAGCAGACCCGGCCAAGCGTTGCTGTGGCTAAGGTTTTTGTAATATGACATAGTAGTAAACTATTCAAGGGAAACGGTAGGAGAACACCAGTCATGGGGACCACCATGCTTTTTTGGTGGTTATGCCATTAAATTGTAGCTCATGTGAAACGTTGGTTCTTTCAACACAGCGCCATCTGTTAGAATTGTGACTGTCAAATAATAAACAAATAATTTGCAATAAAATAATATTGCTGGTATAAATTAAGATGTAAGCCATCCTATCCATCCTATCTTTTAAGTTAGATCAAACTGCACACGGTGTGCAAATTTGATTAAAATCGGTTAAGTAGTTTAGCGGACAAACAACGTGACGCGTAATTTATATATATTAAGATAGTAGAATAGAGCTTGCTTCACCACTGAACAACACATTTTTATTCAATATAAACTTGTATAATATCTGTTTTGCTCTCCCAATATTTAAAAAAAAAATAACATCTGTCATTTCATTTAACTAAATCAGTGAATTCGTACAAATCAGGATAAATTATCAGAGCTGTAAACAACAATCTGGCTGATCTCAGGCCTCCATTAAATGTCCCCGAGAGATAATATAGGACATCTTATCGTGTAAATTGTAATTTTCCGTTTTATGAATTTATAATTCCTTGTATTTCAATGGATTATACCCAAGAGATAAACAAGGTAACAATTAGGGCCCTACGACGACAAAAGTGTGTTTCGTTAGAGTCCTACGGATGGAAAAATATTTTTAAAGCATAAAATGCTGAATAAGCAATACTTTATAACTTTTTGCGTAATATATTTGGTATTGTCATTTATGAGTCTGTAAGAAGCCTTTAGGGCCTGAAAATTAGAACGACTAAACTCAAACTCAAAGTATCTTTGTTCATGTAGGTAAACAAGTACACTTATAAATTGTCAGAAAGAAGTTAAATTAATTCGAAATTTACATTTACTACCAGTTCGCAAGTCAAGGGCGTAGAGCGGGTATTTTTAACTTCATAATTACTAGAGTACTAGCCTAGTTAAATTTACACAAGTTTCATAATCATTTAATTTAAGATTAATTATATTAAATAAAGGAGAGTAACACAAGAATTATTGCATTTTTAATTCTAAATAACTTTTTAACAGACTTCTTAATGACCAGTTCAGTGGATGTTATTTCAGTACAACTTAAGTATTTAAAAAGACGGCGGCAGGGAGTGATTTTCTGTTATATCTTAAGATTCTATTGTAATAAGTCAAACCAATATATCGTGTTTCATAACTTTATTTAAACTTTTTACACTATATTTTAAATACAACAATTATAATATTCAATATACATTTTGTTTTGTTTACTTTGATTCACAATGAGAGACGAATATGAGTTTAAATTACTTTGTATGAAATGTGAAACATAAAAAGTTATTACATTTTGTTTCAAAACATCGAACATTCTATAAATATTATAATATTATGTAGATGTTAAGTCTTGACTTTTCTCAATTAGGATAAATCTTTCTATTTACAAGTATGTTGTGGCCCAATCGGATTAGCCATTTCACGATGTGGTGTACAGTAGGAAATGGTTGAATTGAGCCACGACATTAATTTAACTTTTAAATATACAACCGTTATATTTCAATATAACAATAAAATAGTAAAATTATCATACATATAACATAATTTAAAACTTGAATTAAGTTGTGTTACAAGTTGTGCCGAAACAAATATTCGTCACACGTAAAAATATGTTTGTATACACATTGTTATGGTAATTTTGATTTTCATTTACTGCGATTGTCAATATTGCTCGGCATCAATGTTTTCCGTGCGACACTTTTAGCTATACACTTTTATTATTACATCAAAGTAAATAAAATACCGCAACCTGACGCTCGCGGAAACAAAACAAAATATTTAATAACTAAGAAACCTTTCATAATGATTCGCTTGTATTCGAATTAAATAGGAATTTTTTGAATGGAATTGTTAAAAAGTTCTGGATTCTTCTATATATATACGGTATGGTAGCTTTACAAATGGTACTGCTTACACCGTACAATAAGAAATTTTCATAACATTTCTATAGTTTTAATGTGTTTTCAGTAAGTCCTTGTCGCACGTAACTATTTCGTAATGTATTGACTAGCTTTACGAGATGTGTAACACTCTTTGACATCAATCAACTAGACACGATTTCGATTGTCGGATGAAAGAAATCGTATTATTCGTGCAAATAAGTTCTGTAATTTTACTTATTTGTAAAAACACGAAACGGATTACTTTGTACTTTCTTCACAAATAGTAGTCCAATTTGGCTTCATATTTTGTTATAAAACACTCACATTGTTTTGTCCGTTAGTATATTTGGCTGATGATCTCATCGATCTGATCGTGGTCAGTCTGACAGATGAGGTGAGGTCACCTCGGCGGAATAATGATGCGTGGGGTCCACCAGATTCCCTAAACAAAATAGACATTAAACGCGACCATTGGAAGGTTTCCAAGTTGTTTTTATAAATTACTAAACTTATACTATCATTTTGTACAAAGATCTTTAGAATGTAATAATTTCATCATTATTTTATTATTATGTTGTTCCTTTTAATAAAAGACAAAAAGTTTTATTTTCATAATGATTTAACAAAAATAACAAAGAATTTGCATTTGGTAAAATCCAGGTATAATAAAATATATATTTATAATAGAACTTTGACTTAAATAATTCAATTTAAAAATTTTAGAGAATAAAACATACTTATCACTATATCGAGCGCGCTTTCTGGGCCATAAGTGAAAAGCTCCATAAATAACGGGATTCACCAAGCTATTGGACATTCCAAAGAAGAATATCCCTGAAAGTAGCTCCTCACTTAACTGTAAATAAAAAAATATTTTTAAATAGAGCACAACCTTTAGGATTAAATTAATATTTCTCACTTATATTGTTGTATTACAATAGTATTCTACAACATTGCCTTCGAGCTCTCTGATAAACCGAAGAAACAATGTGTGTATTTTATGATTAACATGGGTTAATTTGCATAATTGCCGGCCTCTATCAGCTGTCAAGCCTCGATTAATGTTATTATCGTGCAGTTGCTACATCACATTATTCCGGTAAAATTTGATCCCGTGTATAATTTGTCTATTTGTTTTCGTTCGTTCGTTTCGTTCTATGAGATCTGAATGTTTAAAAATCCGCCCATTCGAGATATAAATTTGCCTTGTATTCGTTAAGGCAGAAATTTTATGAATGCCTGTGTTCCTTCAAAGGAAGGTATGTCTTGATATTGTTATCATTATTTATTATAATTACTGATCATCGACATAATTTATAATAATATATAATAAAAGTGATAGTTTTTGAGTATTCTGTACGTACCTCTTTTCCTCATTGTTTTATTATAATAGTTATAAATAATACATGTATCAAAACTGAAAACATTCTTATAATATTTAATAAATAGTTTCTAAAGTCAACAATACTTTAACGATCAACACTTTGGTTATTATTACCATAAAATATAACAAAATTTGTGTTTCATTATAACCATATGTATTTTGTAGAAAAATTAATTTTATACAAATTTAACAAATACACCAATTAAAATGAAAGCCTTAGCCTAGCCTCTTTGGCTCCGCAATAAGAACAAAAACCAAATAAATCTTATTGAGCCAAGCAATTTTCTAAGAAAGCTTTTTGATGTTTATACTTACTTTTGTGAATGAACGTGCCATTTAATCGGTTCTACTTAATTTTTTATGTATAGTAACAAAACTCAAGTAAAAACTCTGCTGTTTTTGTTGGATGCTTTAGTGATTCATACCCAAAGCAATTACTTTCATGAATTAACTTGTTAAACGAGGCTGATAAATCACAAAAAAAATACAAAAAAAACCTCCTCCTTCGGATCTTTAAACTCTAAGCATAACGTCTTAAAGCATTACAAGGTATTTTAGCGATTAAAAAACGTATTTGAAAACTAACCTCTGAAGAAATTATTGCTTGCCATTCGATTTTGAAATTAAAGATTTTCGTTTGATTTCGAGATAGAAATGTTTTATCTTAAGACTAAAAGTACTAGCACTGTTTAAAAATATTATACCAGGGTTTTAAAACTATTGGAGCTAACGGGTCCAAATAAGTAATGACTACGCTGTTACCGTGCCCCTAGGGGGATGGCTGGTGGGGTTTTAGTAAGTAGGTTTAGATGTGGGACATAACGTTACATTTCCCCAGATTTAAAATATATATATATATATACTTACACGTTTATCAGGATTTGAGAATGTAAAAATTATCATCATAATATAATATGGTGTCCACCATATCACAAACGCAGCTACTATAACGACAGACATTCGTAGCGATTTCATTTTCGCTCTATCGATAAGTCTTCGTCTATTCATGTCTGGAGTTAAATATTTTTCTCGTCTCGTCTCCGGTTGAAATACTTTTTCACTCTCTGAAAAAAAAATGTAATTGTTGGTAATGTCGCCGAACCCGTGATATATTAACAACTCATGCATAATTTCCATTTTATTCGTTTTATTGTAGCAGTATCAGCACATTTATATTACAATAAGTTTCTTTTTTTTTCGATTAATAAGAGTCGGAGAAGTTCTAAGAACAAAAACGAAAGCAACATTCCTACTAGAGACTTACTTGCAATAGTTCTTACAGTAGACACGTAGGTACTGATTAATATTAAAAGTGGTAGAAGAAACATAAAGACAAGTGATAGTGTAGTATACGCCTGCTCTTGCCATCTATCCGTATAAAAACCATGGGTCACGCACTGGTAGAACTCTTCTACAAATGGACCTTTTGCTACCCTGAATACCACGGTCTGAAACAAATGTCTGTTATAATAGCATTCAGAAATACTTTTAGAATGTGTTATATAACTTTTTTTTACCTAAAAATTTAAATACCTCTAAAATTTGTTTATATTTGAAAACAACATTTGTTAAAAATCTTTGAATGTGAATAAAAATTCGTATCTTAAATAATCAGAAAGGTTACGTCATTATTTATGTAATGCCACTTGCAAGAAAAATTGTAAAGTCTAATTTTAATTAATTGTCAAATATTTTGTTTGTTAGCTTTTGAGTAAAATTAATTACTCTATTACCCGCGCTTCATTCACGTACACTTATTAATCACGATCAAGTAACTTCTACATCACTAAAGAATCAAATATTGCTGAAGGAATGTTGGGTTCGACAGCTGTTAATCACTATCAGTTCTTACTTTGTTATGAAACTCGTTACCTTAGTTACCATTTTTAGTCTACGTTTTATAATAAAGCTGTTAAAAATATTGAATATTTACAAAATATGCCATTATTTATACGGTTTGGTGGCATTTTAGAGGGATTATTTAGCCCTTTCGAATTTGGGTACCTATTCTTACTGGCTGAAAAGTTGACTAATGGTTCCCATTTAAGACGCTACAATGGCAATATGATTTCATATTTTCATCCGCACTTTGTTTATTTTGCTATTTCATGATTATTAACAAAGGATTATAGCGATTAAATTACACTTTAAATCCATAATTCAAGCACCTTTGAAAGAAGGTTTTTGTTAAGTCATTTAACATTATAATAGATTGTGATAAGCTTAACATAAGATTAATATTTAATTGACGTTAGTCCAAACACAATTCATTGTATGACCTTAAACACACTTTTAACATATATAAAAAAAAATATATTTCTATAAGCAATATAGTAAAATAAATAACTTACTTGTGGTAAACTAAATAAGAAGCTCAAAATCCACGCAATTATAACTAATCTGGTACTTCTTGTAGCAGTTCCCATACTCTTCATAGGATACTTCACAGCTAACCATCTATCAACGCCGATAAGAACTAGAATAAAAGTGCTTAAATACAACGAGAACATTTGCAGGAATTTAAATAATTTGCATCCTACATTCCCCGCATACCACTGCACTGAAAACGACCACCCCGCTTCCCCCGCTATACAAAATACTGTTACTAACAAATCGGCTATGCTTAGTTGAAATATAAGACTATATATTGCAGTCCAAGAAGGCCTCGTTCGTCTTCGGCCCCGCTTTCCCCTTTGTACGCTTATCATCGTCGCGAAATTCCCTGCGAAAGATAACAAAGCCATCACAGAGAGTATGCTGGCGCGTATTACGGTGCTCTTTGTCAGGATGGGAGCGTGTTCCAAGCACATTATCTGTGTTCCATTGTTGATAAATATTCTATTCGTTAGTTCATCGTTCGACGTGTCATTAATTATATTGTGCTCTAAGCATTTGTGTATGGGCCATATATCTTTAATCAATGTGTCTCTTTGAAGTATAAGTTCGGTAGACAAAACTTCATATAATGTGGTATTGTTGCCTGCGCTCCCCATGTTTCGACATGCGTAATCAAACTGACGAACGGCAATCTGAAACAAATGTTATTATTTAAATTCAGAATATGGAAACGCGTTTGAAGTGCTTGTATTCATTAAAGCGTTGTATGAAGTTTGATTTCTTGTTGTGTTAATTCTCATATAAGAACTGATTTAACGTCGTACGTGTCGTACGTGTTTACCTAGAGAAAAGATAATACAATGCTTTAATAGCCCACTATTTTTTACGCGTGTAAAAATACTAAACGGTTAAATAGATGTTATTTCTTCGATTAAAGTGGTATCTAAAAGGACTCAGCGATTCAATAACACTAGCCTAGTCTTGTACGTGTTCAATATCGAAACTTAATTACAAAAAATATAAAAACAATTTAGGAAGTATTCTTTTAGTTCGGTGATAAATACTTAGTTCTGTAAGTCCTTTTTGCAGCGACAAACTAGGAAATTTCGTTAGTAAAAAGTTTTATTACCATCGCCTCAGATGTCGTCGCACTTAAAATTAATGCGGAACAATTGGTAAGCGAGTTTAAAAGCACCGTATTTTATGAAATGTGTTTCTGACAAGCAATGACCGTAGAGTTATTCGTAAAAGTTATGATAAAAATTCCTTTGAAGGACACGGAATGCATTAATTAAAAAATTCATCAGCTTTAAATTTTTATATCGCTTTTTTTGTATTCTACTTTGTTTATTGCTTGAAAATTTGACTTTGCCTTTTAAAAATGCAGCTATGACCTAAAAGGAAGCAAGACTTTAAGGTTTATAAATTTGCTTGTCTAAAACTGTTTCTAGTCTGTAAAAGTAAACATATTATCAGCCTTGTACTCGTAGTAACGAAATTATCAAAGCGGAATTAACTGACAAAGGAAAAATCTTTGGTGAAAGATAGTTTTTTTTTAAGATACGTCAAAGCTCGATAGCCAATTCATAGAAAAATATGTATATTCAATGACGAATTTTAAAGTACCCATCTAGGCTTGCAATAACCGAACAAAAATATAATTTTATATTCATATCAAAAAACATTTGAATATCGTAAAAGCACTTTAAATTAATGTTTAATAACATAGCCCTACAATTTGAATTTAGAACCAAAGCAGAATATACTGAAAATTTTAACAATTTGAACATTAGTTTACACGTTTTTAGGGTCGTTAAGGATTTTCATACACTTAAGCGAACATATAATTGTATGGAGAATAAAATATATCTGAATCTTTAGTCAGGTTTCACTAATTACTTGAAATTAGTGACAATACTATGAAAGTAAGTAGTAAAGGATACCAAATACAGAGTTTTATTATAAATCCCCTGAATCCGTGACTATTCTTTAAAGTATTTCAAAATAGGCTTTTTTGAAAACCAACAATATTTGTGTAATAATATTATTTTTCGTTTGTGACAGGAGTTTATTCTTTGACTAGACACTTGTGAAACTTCTTGGTAAACTTGGTAACAGCTGTTAATACAAAATTTAATCAATTGTCTTTGTATTAAGAAGAATAAAATACTTTCGATAGGTATGTTATTTCTTTTAAAAACAAATGTCATATAAACGATCAAGGTAGAAAATAATTGTAATGATATCAATTCATCAAGGAATTCTTGATCTATTTATATCTATAATAATACATATGTAGAGCGAGGCTTGCTAATCTTATTACAAATATAAATATGTGTCTCGCATATTTGTAATTTTAAAAAGTTTTAATTTTAACTATGCATTTTAATTCGCTAGTATTATAGTTTGGTATTTGTCGCGTTATGTAAGAAGATAAAAAATAATCCTATGATATGAACTATACTAATAATCGTCAAATTTTGTTGAGTTCTGTTTGTTTAACTGTATTTATCATGAATGTGTCAAATCCATCAATTAACCAAATATCTAGGAATTTAAACTCTCTACATATTCTAAAAACTTCATAAATGTTTCACTTACTACAGAAAATATTGCATCTTGCAAATGTGCAATTGTCTCCAAAAACCTACATACTCTTACTAGATACTTCCTCAGAAAAAACGGAACAGACAAAAACATAGAATAAAATTACATTTAATAGCAATCAGAAAACGCAATTCACATTGACATTTGACATCCACTTAAGTGTTGTCACGTCAAGTCCATAATGCATTAAATTAATTGTATATGTCAATAACTCTATATTTAAACATTAGATAAGATTTATTCATTTTATCTTTAATTCATTTTTGAATTGATAATAAGAATCCAATGGCGCTACAACCCTATATGACTGTGACCGCAGATTGCATCCGTTTCATTCATTATTATTTTAACAGACAAATTTTACCTTCTGTGTGTCGATTTTTGGATTTGAATATGCCGGTTGCCAATGATAAGGCGCCCATTAAGCCATCAGACCAACACTGTTTTGAATTGAACACGTTCAAAATCTCGGTGAATGCTGGAGTTTATCATGAAGCTTCCATAGCGACGTTATTAACAATTAGCTGACAAGTGTCGCAACGACGTCATATGACTAAGCCATATTGATAATACTCATGTTATAAACTTGGAACAGCTTAAAAACTTAATACTCGCTTTCGATACCTTAAAATAACATAAGTAAGGTCATTACAATCACAAATCATTCTCAAAATCACTTCATTTTTTTATTTTTATTTATACTTCATTGCCATAATACACATAATTATACATGTAGAAAAAAAAAACAAAAAGTATGTAGGTTGCATATGTTATTCGGCAACGGGCGGCACTTTATTTATTATGACATGTTCTGTTTATAATATATTTTTCCAATAAACTGAAACTTGTCGTAATAATGTGACGATGACAATTATAAAAGAATTTTATATGTACTGTTTATTTTAAATATTTAAAATATTGAAATGTTTATAGTATATTTTAAAAAAAGGGGCAATCAGGCAATAGGCTGACCTGATGTTAAAATATACCGCTGGCCATGGAAAATCACGCTGTCAGAAGGGTCGCAAGTGAATTGCCGGATTTTTAAGAACTACCAATTCTTAAAGATCCGGCAAGATAAATTATTCTCTGTTCTTAAACTCTAAGAATATGTTCGGAAATACTGGCACTTTTTATGAAATGGTACGCTCTTTTTTTCATGGACCCTAAGTCGAATTATTACGAGTCATCGTTGTTTCTATAGAGAACGCATTTTTAGCTGTTCATTGTTTATAGAAAAACGTGCGTGTCCTACGTTCGAAATTAAGCAATTAACTACGCGTCATAAAAACACGGGCAATACCATTAATTCAAATTTTAAAATCTATGATCTTTCCAATGTTTGAATAATGTTATACTCTGTAAGAGTTTTAATCCACGGAAAGCTTAACATAGATTGCGCTGTGTTTGCAAAATATCGGTTATTCCTATCTTAAACAAGATTTTCACAACGCAGAATCGTTTATTTAGCCATAAATTGGAGCTGGAGCATCTGCTTTTGTGTTTTGGCAAATCTAACAATAAACAATCTAATTTTAGTTTATATTCATTGTATTTGTGTACTACAAATTTAATTGTAGAAAATGTACATGTGTAGAAACTAAGTTTAGTTCACAATAGATTTCTGATAAAAATAATACAATTTTCTAGCGGACCCGACACACGGCTTAAATACAAAAATTTTACGTTTTTAAATAAGCTGTAAGAATATGGACCATTTGAAGATGTTTTTTGATTAATAACATATTACAATGAACGACCAATCGATAGCGTGTATACTTTAGGTGAAGTTAAATGTATGTAAATATATTTTGTAAAGACTTAAATGTGTCCCTTAAAATATATAATAAACATAACTTTTGCTTGTTATAGTAGCATAATAAAATAATACTGTGACGCTACAAACCTAACCTTTACCGTCTGATTCATTATTTACTTTTTATAGACAAGTAGGTGATCTTCTGTGCCTGACACATGTCGTTGATTACTTCCATTTGACCTAACCACAAAAGAGGTTTCCGCACGATGTTTACCTTCGACGTACAAACAAGTATTAATTGCGCATAAGAACTCCTAGTGCAAAGCCGGTATTTAGACTCACGACCTCAAGTGACCTCAGTGGTTAAAGGTGCACTCCCAAACCACAAGCCCAATACTGTTTGTTATATTTTAATATATCACCGCGCACCACCACTATGTGGAACCAGCTGCCCACTGAAGTATTTCCGAACCAATTGGACTTAGGGTCCTTCATGAAAAGAGCGTACCAATTCTTGAAAGGCCGGCAACGCACTTGCGAGCCTTCTGGCATTGTGAGTGTCCATGGGCGGCGGTATCACTTAACATCAGGTGAGCCTCCTGCCCGTTTGCCTCCTATCACATAAAAAAAGCATATATATATATAAGATTTATTTTTTAAAGAATATAAAAGTCTGTAGGTGTTATCCGGAAATGAAATTTTCAAATCCAATAACATCCGTGAAACTTCATATAAAGGGATATGTGCAAAGTGCCGACATCTTTAACATTTGGCAATGTGCATATAATTGGATAAAAGAAAATATCAAATTACAAAAGAGTGGCGGAGAGTTTATTGCCAGTTCTTCTCTTCCGTTCTACGCCCTTGATTTGAGAACTGGCAGTAAATGTAAAATTAGAAGAATTTAATGTATATTTCTTTCTTGACGTTCATAAGTGTACATTGCGTATATGAATAAATGATTTTTGACTTTGACAGTAAAAAGGTAAAATTGCATGGTGAAAATTCTTTCATATAGATGGACCAAATAAACACCTTTTCATAACCCTTTTCTGTAATAATAATATTAGCTTTAATAACTTTGTTAACATAGTACCGTTAATTGACGTCGCAAGTAATTGACACCACTTTTATGTTTATTAAGGGTTGGCCAAATCAGTAGGTGATTAAATATACGATAGGACTACGACAGCTCTGGTCAGTATGAAAAGGAAATGATTTGTTACCCTTTACGATCCCATCTACACTTGCATTGGTGAAGTCTTTGAAAACTCACTAATGTCCTTTCAGAATACACGATTAGTAATTAAGGATGATGGATTAATGTTATATAGGTTTGAAGTATGAACTAGAAGTATACGCATATACATAAAATATAAACTCAAATAGAAGGACTTTAATTTAAAAAAAGGGTGCGTGTACTTATGTACGCGCGTAAGAAGTTATACTTCTTTGGCATTATTAAAAATAGTTTTTGATTGCATGCAAATAATTAATTACAATTAAATAATCAAAGACTGGAAAAGGAGTCATTAAAGTCAATAAAGTTCAGTTTACATTTGAAAAATTAATTAAATAAATATTTATTATTATTCTCTTACATTAAACAAATAAAACACTATTTATCTTTAAAACATTTTTATTTCATTATACTATTTATTTTTAAGTGACTCTAATGTCTTCATCAGAATTTCGGTTTGTAATTTTAAATTAATCATTACTTGGTTGTGCATCTACGAGGCTTCTCCAAAACTACTTGCTTTCTG